GTAAGGTACCACACGGTCACGTTTCTTTAGATGCTCCGGTATGTGGCGAAACGTCACCACAAGTGGTCGGCGCGGCGATAGATGAAGCACTTCGTGTCCGCTGTGCTGTACATGCAGATCCAGCCGATGTGACGTTCTTATGGCAGTTCAATAACAGTGGCGAGAGCTTTAATGTATCTCCTGCTAGATATGGTAAGGAAAACATATGTTATAGTGCTCTTTAGAGACAGATATATTGCTAATTTGGAAATATTGCCTCCCAAAGTGAATTGGAATGGAAGTGGAGTGGAATTCCACATGGTAGTAAAGTAATGATTGAGTAACGAGCATCTTTGCTCCCAAAGAAAATTCCCAATTTTTGTGTAATGGTGTAACAAAAAAAAAACAAGAAGGAAACACATGCATTACGGTGTGCAACAAAGTTGTCTTCCAAGTTGAGGTATTAACTAAAAAAAATTAAAACGGAGAATAATAAGATACTAATGTATTGTGAACATTAAAAGTTAAATTTAAAAAACTTGATTGAACCTCAATTTTTAATAGTCGCTAACTAGGCAGTGAAACGATTAACCTGTCCTTCAATAGCTAAACGCATTTTTTACATAACTTTTTGAACAAATTGAGTAGATTCTCCACGAGATCATTAAATCGTCTACCTAGGATGCCATTAAACACATCACTAAGGCCATCAATAAGGGCAATCGGAAGTAGAAATATAATATATAATAATTGTAATATAATATATATATATATATATATTTTATATTATTCAAAAGTCGAGATGTTGAGCTCAACACTCATATATATTTATTATTATAATATATATAATATAATTATTATAATTATTTATTATAATATATATATTAATTTTTATTCTTCATTTCATTTTTATTTTTGTACTAGATTTAGAGAGACTCCCTTATTTTTCACCCATATATAAAATATATATAATATATTCTCAGAAAACCTTTCATTGCTTTTCACCAAGTAAGAGGGGTAACCTGAGGCCCAACGTGGGAGTTGGGCCTCAGGTTATAATTTACATTTGGTTTATAATTTTGAGGGGGTACTCAAATACTGGCAATGCAATTCTCTTATTGCAGATGTCTATGAGCGGCAGATGTCATTCATCAGCAGGTGGCCTGTCTGTTTGTTTGCCCCAAACACTATAAAAAAATACCAAAAACACCAGAATTTTTAGGTTACTAGTTAACGTACAGTAACAGAAAAATGGCTCAGTTCTAATAAAATAAGTTGAGGTCACCTACCCAAGCAAAGAAGGTTGCTACCTTTCCTTTGCCCTTATTAGGATTTTGAAATTTTATCGTTTTCGGATTATGCTATCATACTAAGCTTGTACGAAATTAAATGTTTTTCGTTTAAAAAAATCTCTAAGAAGGCTTAAGGTCGAAAACCAGACTTTTTACTAATGAAATTAAAAAAAAAAGTTATACAAATTATAATGAAATGACTCATTTCGATATCTTCTTAGTACGATTTGAGTTTAAGATTTTTATCTTATTCAGAAAACGATAATAATCCTCAAATTATTTGACCAATCATATTACGCTAAGAAATTGTTTCAGAAGAAAATTTCCCGTGTAGTTTCTAAAAAATATACCTACGAGTAAAGATCTTATTCGAGATTACTTTTCTTTTTCAAATATGGTAGGAGAATAAATGGCCTAGCTAAGATTGTGGGCTGTACCGAAACTCAATTTACGTAACTATTTGGTCTGTTACATATTCAAAGCATTGAATACATGAGATGGTGCTTGAATTCCTTGAGTGCTTACAGCAAATACGAGCGGGTCCGATGAATTAGTCAGCTGTGTGTTTAGGGGAATTTATATTATTAAGTACTGATGACTTGCGAAAAGAAGAAACGAAACCAATAAATAATACTATGTTTTTTTTTCATATTTTTCTAAAACAGTTGTGTTTGTAATTTGGTTTTTATGCAATCATGGATTTATAAAGCTGGCCACTGCTCTGTAGACTTATTTAGCGCTAAAACATACTTAAATCCGTTTGAGCATATTTTTATTTTGAGTCAGAGATCACTTCTTAACAAAATTATTAGTCAGAATGCACCGAATACTTATAAAAAAATTAGACGTTTAATATTTTATTATTCTTTTGTACCCCCAGGTACAGTCAACGGCAGTATAAGCGAACTCCGGTATATTCTAGCGAGTGAACGCGACTATGGTGCATTGACTTGCCGTGGCACCAACACTGTGGGCCGACAAACACAACCCTGTGTTTTCCAGATTGTTCCAGCAGGTACTTTTATTTTATATTATATTTCATAATCTATAAGACACATTGATGCTATTCATGTTGTTCCGTATAGATTTTTGCAGTTATCAGTCAAACTTACTGAGTACCAATTTACAAATAGTAATAGTATGACATAGTTATGTATAAAATAGTTTCTATATACTTTTTTAGATTTGAGAATGTTTTAAAATTGTATGTTACTCAAAAATTTTATCACATAAATTGTCAACTAAGGTAAGCTGAGGCTACGGCTTTTTTAGCTTCATGTAGCGGTATTTTTGTCTGCTTATACATTATCAATGTATATTATGTATAACGTGAAATGTGGAAACGTAGTTTGTGTAAGCGAAAATTATAAGTTTTTGCTTAATGTTCATTTCAAATCTAACTGTTAAAATCAATTATATAATATTTACAGAATCATTTAAAGCTATCCACTACATACACTACCAAGGATATCGCAACATTTATCCTAAAAGATAATAATAAAACTAATGTATTCCAATTGATTAAAAGTTAAAATATTTTTGACTCTACAAAATTAAGCGCTTTGGTCCTAAAAGGGTTGGGAACCGAGTACTACTATTTACTTTATAGGCCTAATTAAAAAACAGTATCAAGTTCCAACTTTGAAAGTTTTATCAATGAGATTTTAAAAAAAAACAATGACTGATAGACAAAGTTGGAATATCAAATATTTGCCAATTTGTTGACATTCCTGTGTTGAACTCGAGTTAGGTACGGATCGTAATAGTCCAATTTCGGAAAAGGGTTTCCGCTGTGCAAGTAAGGGCCAGGTCAAGGCTTACATCCAGTACAACTTCATACCCACTTTCCTCGCTTTGAATTTGAGAAGTCACTGACAATGAAATACAGTATAGTTGTTGATTTATAAATAGAACTGTCTATGTAAATTCTGTTTTCCTCAATTTGTTTTCATTACAAGCTGTGATAATATTATATATTATCTGTCAATCGAAAATCAAAAGGATCTTGAATAGTCCATTCTTGAGAATAGTAGTGCTTTTTGAAAATATGCCAAATATAAATATTTGTAAGATATGTTATTTTATCGAAAATGCATGTACTTTGAGTTAAGTTTAGTTAATAACTTTCAGATAAACGTGCTTAAAAACAAATTAATTTTAAATACATTTACCTAAGGAAATTTCAGTTTAGCTGCAAATTAAAAAAAAATAGGATATCTATTCCCGTGTCATTTGGAAAAACTAATTTTTTAAACTTAACATGTATTAGCGCACTAGGCCGCCCCCTGACCACGTTACACATGATCACCCTTATTTTATATTATGTACTTAAAAATTACGAAAGACTAGGTTTTAATTACAGTTAAGTTATTATTTCTGGCTCAAACGTTTTTCATTTTTGGTACCAACAACAGCTCGTCCATCACCACCTCGTAATTGTACTGTTACGGCGAGCAATGGATCCAACTGGATAGAAGATTCCGTCAGGGATGAGTTTGGAGAGTCAATGATGGTCCGGTGTGTAACTGGTTACGACGGTGGCCTTCCGCAACTCGTAGTGCTAGAAGCTTTGAATACAAATACCGGGAAGATACGATTCAATGTAACTGCTAATGAGACAGGTAAGTTAACTGCAAATAAGGAGAAGACGACGTACAATTATATCTAAAAGAAGGCCTTAGTTACCTGGGCTCGCTGAAGCGTTCAATTCCAAGCTTGTGTTTGGGAGCCCTATTATGGTTTCACTTTACTAACACATCTCTAGTGTTGCGAGTGTTTATGGGAAGCGGTAACCATTTACAATTAGCTGGGGCAAACTTTCTTAAATAATTATATAATAGCATATGGTATTGGGATATAATACCATCACTGTGCCATATCTTAGACGTGAACAACTTTTTAAAGCTTGTAACTTAATACTCCACGGATTTATAACTCTTATAAACCACATATAATGATTTAATTGTACTTTTAAATGACGTGGTTATTTATTCTAATCAATGTATTTTAAACTATAGACGGAGTAGCAGTATTCATAGTTCCAGCTGGCATTCTCTGGACAAGCGGTAGCGCTCTTAGGCTCACAGTACACTCGAGAAACGACAAAGGAGCTTCCGATCGTATCATGCTTCACGCTCTCGCATACCAGGATCCTGAGAGACGTACAGGTATGAATACAAGTAAATAATCCAATGATTGAACAATTTACCTATATAGTGTTTTTATAACCTATATAACTATAATGTATATTAGCCCTGAGTGACATTAATTTGATGATAATTAATAACTTTACAGTAAACAACCTGTCTGTTAATATTTTACTAGTTGCGAAGTCGCCCAGGTTAATCTGCTATTATAATTTGATCAGCACACCGTCCCGGCTTCTTCAATCGGACCAGCTTCCCGCTCTTCCAGCATACAGGAAAACGTCCGCACGCTACAAACGCTACGTCGAACACCTGCCTGAGGCGGTCTGCCATGTGGTGGAGGGCTAGGGCCAGCACTCGGGCCGGTATTCCGTCCGGCCCAGGGGCGGTCTTCTTGGAACGGATCCGTAGAACAGCCGCCCCCACCTCCGAATCCCTGACGGGTGGAACATCTACCGCGTTCTCCCCGTCTTCACCGGCCAAGGAAGCCATCGACGGGGGTGTGTGTTCCGCCCGTTGCGGGGATAGGCCCTCCACCACTTCCTGCAGGAAGCTGGGCTGGAGAGTTTCCGTAAGGGGGATGGCGACGAACGGAGCTTTTGTGGCACCGCGCGATAAGGGCGACCCCAGGGGTCACGATCAAGACCCTCCAGCAACGATTGACACTCTTGCGCTAACGTTTCAATCCTTAAACATACAGGGCTTTAAACAAATACTTTCGTCGATTGTTTTGATGCATCTTTTAGATATATGATCATTTCGTCCACAAAGAAAAATCGTTGAAACAATTAGTGACAATACTCGTAAATGATAGTAGAAAGTCAACCACAATGGTGTCACAAACAGAGAGAGATAGAGAAATCGCGCAAAAACTCCGCAAACTTATCAGACGAACTATGATTACGAACTATGACTATGACCTAACAAATTTGTGTATCTGTCTCTTTTTAAAATAAACATCGTCTTTCACATGTGTTGTAAAATTCGTCACTTATTACAATTTTGTTCAACTAAAAATACCTTTCTTAAATGTATTTCTATATAACATAGGCGTAATGATGCGAGCTCGTTGTATATTATAAAAGACTCCATCAGACAAAGGTTTTGAATTTGAAAGCACTTTTATAATAAATTACCCATTCCACGTACACGATATAAAAGTTCTCTTTTCACCATATTTTTATTTTAAGTAAAATTCAGGAAAACGAGTAATTGCGATGGTTCAAGACGAACTAACCTGACGTTTTTTTATGTCTAACTGCCGTATAAAACCCCCTATAAAACTTGATTTGATGAAGAAAATAATGAATTTTAAAACTAAACAATAAAAAAACATCTCGAAGATTCCACAGAAATTTTTAGCTTTTGCTCAGATAACATATCAGTCCTTATTCATGGAATTACCATCGGAGGTCTTCGAATTAACATGCCATTCATAGTTGGATGACTGTAGTAGTTTTTCAATACTTTATGGTGTACTTACTCTTCCATCGGTGGATTTTAAAATTAAATTATTGAATTCAATGTTTTCTCACATTATGTTCTGTGCTGCCTACCCCATAGGCAAGGGGGGACCAGGCCACTTATTGCCCACTAATGTGTTACCATAAATATATGTTACATTCTGTCATCGTAGCTATTTATTAACATAATTGTACACTTATGATAATTACATATTTATAATACATCTTCTGTTCTGCAATCGATTTCTACATTTAATTACGAGCTACGAAATCGTTTACAGAAACATTTCATCATGATAGTAGATTAATGTCGGGTTTGAAAAAAAATACGAAATTCAGTTTTTACCAAATTTGGATACTACATTGTGTAAATATTATTATTACATTCAAGATAAAAATATATTTATTTTGGTTTTTAAATTATTCAGTGTTTGTTTGATCGGCGCTCAAAGTAAAAAGAAGCATGTGATTTTTCTAGAAAATGGTAAAATTACTAGTTGTTATTTTTATTGCATTTAAAAAAAACCTTATTTTTCACTTGTATGCCAATTTTCATAATTACAGATTTAGAATTAAAAAAGTAATGTCAATAAAATACCATAATTATTTGAAATGGCTGCCTTGTAAAATTCAAAAAATGTCATGAACCGACACTATTCTAGGACTATGACTATTTGAACTTGACTTTTTGGTTGATATTTGTCATCAATTATTTGTCTACAATTCTTAGATGGCGGCACTGGTTTAATGGCTGGTGTATCGAAAGCTGCGTTCTGGTTGATAATCTTCACAGTTATCATATGCACGTGTGCAGCCGCTTTCACCGGCTTCTTTTTACGAAGAAAAAGGTATGTATATTCATATATTTTAGTCTACACATGGTTAGAGACTGTGACACAGGCCAATCTATTACTGTCAATGTTCGCACAGAGTCTACTGTTCTGTACAAAGTCATTGGCTCAGAATCAAATTTATAAAATCCTAAAATAGATCTGAAGATCGTAAACTCAAACTTTAAATTTTGCCCTTTGTACCAGAATATCAATGCTATCATTCTGTTCTGCAAGGAGTCCGTATTTTAAAGTCACATAATTACATTTCTGGCACTTTTGGTAACAAAGTGTATGATATTAAAATAAATCCTAGGGTCTCACACTTTAGCTTTTATTCTTACTGGTATCACTACGCTACCTTACTTACGCTGGGCACAAAGTAAACAATCCTGAAATATTTCTCAGAATTTTACACTTAGGCAGACTTATTTGTTCTAATCCATTCTACTTAGAATATTAAGATGATAATAATGGAAACGAGAATTTTAAGAATACACACAGGGAACATACATGTTAAATTCAGGTACAATAGTTGATAGTTGATTTATCTACTACTGAATCTACTACTGAAACTCCAAGCTAATGTCTCTGAAATTTAAGTACTTTGGCAGTTGTATCAGGATATTATCTTGACTACAATCTGTCTGTGTTCATTAATGTTCAATGCTTGAATAACATCATCAATAACAGCCGTTAATAGTCCATTGCTGGACATAGGCTTCCCATTTGAAATAAGGTTTAGGCCACTACTATACCATGCTGGCCAGACGGGTTGGTATAGGGTGTGATTCAAGTTTTCTGTCTCTTTGATGTGCTATTGTCCTGCGTAGTTTGCACCCTTAGTCGACTCTTACGACATCCACGGGATGAACAGGAGCGGTGACACTCCATATTCTTAATCCGCCACCGCATGGATTCATATTTTTGTTTTCTATTTACTGCCATGTTATTTTATAGTTATTATTATTATATATGAAATGCGGTTGTTTTATATTTTTGTTAGTTTTTAGATTCTAATATTAATAGATTTATTTGATTTTCAATGATTTCTTTAAAGGTAGATGTATAAAATATAAATTACCGAGAAAATATTTAAATTTCTATTTTAAAAATAGTACTGTATTACTAGTGATTTCCAATATTTCTTTAACTGAATAGTATTTAACTTATCCTACTAATAATAATTGTATTGGGTTTACTACTTCCGAAAACTTGCAATACCTTATACATTACGTTTACATAATACGGCCACTTATATACGATTGGATACTGGGAGCTATTCATTCCCTGTGCTAAACCATTCCATTACACGATGGGTAACATAAACGGTGATGAAAAGGGGAATATCGGTGAAACGGGCACGTAACACCCGACTGCATTTACCAATTCGCCAACAAACCGGTTTGATTACAGCTACACATGTCTCCATGATCAGCCGTTTGTATTTCACCCTTTGTATCTGATTGGAGCTTTTGTTTTTTTTTTAATATTGCACACTTTTTGAAATTTAAATTTATGATACATTTTAAATCTTTATCACTTAACCGCTATTTTATGAAGCTCTATTAAAAAAAGGCGTTCTGAGGCGAAAAGTTGGTGGTACAGAATACGTCTGGCGTTATAATTATTATCCCCTGTGTTTGGAATAATTATTTATTTATTGCATCCAGAATACTTTACTAGAAATAAATGAGGAGAAATAAGGGCCCCCCAATTTTTTTTTAGTAACTTTAATCAGGAAACACTTATTCCAATTTATTTTTGGAAAATATTAATTTTACCTAGTTCTTGGGTGTGTCAGTAAAGTTTATATCGAACAAAGCATTTCAAGTAAATATTTATTTACAGGCTTTGTTCTCTCTATTCGTTTACGATAATGTATGATATTGATATAAGTACAATGTAAGGTAGTTGTAAATATTAGCCCCGATTGTCGAACTCAGCAGACAATAAGTCCCTTTAACATTGAGGTGACTAAGTTAACCGACATCGATCGGGTATTGAATGGAATTGCATTAAAGTTGTATGTTGTGCAGCCAATTGGAATATACATAATAGTTACTTGAACAAAGAGGCGAATTAGCATTTTTTAGACTTAATAAAATGGCTATTCTTACAAAGGTCTCTAATTGCCATTATTGAAAATAACACTTTCAACTATATTTTTTACAAGGTAGGTTTTTAACGACACTATTAGGATTGCTACATAGATGGTTTATTATTATCAAATATAATATATTATTGGTAGTTAATATAATATTCAAGTACCTCAGGAAAATGAAAAAAAAATATTTACTCCTTAATGCCATCGCTAAGATGATAATGCAAATACATTTGAACCACCATCTTAAATGGCATAATTTATTCTCATTGTAAGTCTTTTAGTAATCACAATCATGCTAGTTTAAATCTCTCGTGATAGCTGAAATCACAGTTTGTTATATGATGCACGGCAATCTTTTGTATTAAACGAACAAAATTGTAAGGTAAATAATAATTATGTGACTATGGAGTGCACGCATAGTCATATGATTAGAACTTGTGAAGTTGTTTTACATTATAATTATGTTGCTTTGTTTTTTATATTACTAATAGAAGAATTGTTTTGATATCACTGATGTTGATTTAAAGCAATCAACTTTTAAATGTCTACATAGTGCTTTTCTATTTTTGTACTATCCATACTAACTGCTTATATGAGAAATTTTCAACATAAAGATTAATTAAAATTTAGTAATTGATCGTCGCTCTCTCGTCGAACAACCGAGTCATACAAATTGCGTTCGTGCCACGAACTACAAGCTACTGTATTTGCGACTGTGAGCGTGCATATATTTTTAATGCGACTCAACTAATTGCCTACTACCTACCTACAACTAAGTGCTAGAATAATAATACAAAATCATGTGTTATTGAAGTCAGTTACATTTTATAAAATAACATAGTTATAAGTTTCAAATAGATACTAAAAAAAATTCCAACATAAAAAAAATAAAAAATTCAAATTCAGATAAAATTTTATGATTATCACAAAGTGTGTTAATGATTTTGACTGGTCATATTTCTACTTTTTAAATAGTGTTTTGCTCATTTATTTTCTGTCCAGGAATAATCCTCCTACAAAGCAGCAGTCATCAGAGTTGCAGCTTAACGCTGGAGACGGCCAATACGTAGTAGCTTATACACTGAAGCCACCCAAACATGCGCAGCCCGATATTTTAAATCCTCCACCAGGTAACTTTGAACATTTGAGATAATTTTAATAAAGATTTCGGACAACCAGAAGGGTAAAATATCTATCAAACCTCCGGAATGCCCTAAATTCACTAAAAATCAAAATTTCGTGTCGCACGCTTATACCCACTTGTATAAGAAATAATTATTCGATTTTATCTGGCTACAAGAAGCTTTTTTTTTGTAGTAAAAAGAAGGTTCTTGTTATTCATCTGATTTATTTTGGCGCCAAAGCAATAGTAGCGTAAGATAAGGGTTATTATTGCAGAGAAATTACGAGTTCCAATGCTTACTAATGGCCTAACAACGTAACAACTCGTACATATTTAGTTACTACTAATTCTAGATAGTAGTAGTAGCAAACTCATGTTACAAAAAGATTGTAAATTTAACTAAGATTTCACTGATCGGTTGAGTTCCTTATTATCAAAGTTTAATAAAACTGACACGTTCGTACGTCAAAGCATCACGAGTGAGAATCGTATAACAAGTGGTGTATGAAACGTTGCCATGGAGATGGATCTTATTGAGGGAACGAGGGCTGTTCAATCGCCATTTACGGCATATCGACGTCCGATGACAATAATATCTATTACGCAATACTACTAAAGAAGCTTCGACAGAGAACTTCATTAATAAAATTAAACTTTACTAATGTTCGTTAGTCTACATACATTGTTATTAAAATCTCAGCTTGTAACAGACATGCTTTGATAATATTGGTTACAACCAGATTTAATTTTATTACTAAATCTAAATAAATTGTCAAAATGACAAAAAGTCACATGACATTCAGACAAATTGTATTCTTTATTCGGAGCGGTTCAATTTTTTTTATTTCTATTTGCATTAGATTTAATTTAAAAGTAATTTATCTCCATGTAAAAAAGTCTCTTTAGAATATTTCTACATAGTATATGTACTACATAGTTTTCTGTTACAGTAATCTCATAAATGAACCATTCAAAAACTATACAAAACGCAGTATCTTTGCCCTCAGACGGAGGACCTCCAAGCACAAAGTGCGTTACAGAGTCAGCTGCAAAAAATGGCACCCTTCATGCGAGTGAAGAATGGGATACGGGCGAGCGCGCGAGCGCTTTTCTTGACGACCACCGACCCGTAAGTATCCGAATGGTGCTCCGTGCTCGTATACGCTGTATGAACACTAGCGACAGACTGAACAACACCATTATTTTTAAACATTAAAACATAAAATGATTTCCATTTCAATCCTATGCGTACGGAATCTGTTTTTGTGTTAAGGTTACATTGATGATTCAGAACATAATTAAATTATTGAACATAGCTTGAAGGGAGATGCTTTTACATTGCTTGTTTGCAGAATTTTTAAACTAGCTGCGAAACCTAATTTCCATAGTATCTGTCGCTGACAAACATTTGCTCCCTGTGTCAGGCCAAGCATGAGTTCTTCTAATCGTTTTATTTTATTTTTTTAATTAGTGTAGTTGTTTCAAATCATTTGACATTAAAGCAGACAATTAAAATGAAAATTACTTGAAATGAGCAAAAGAATCAACGTAACTCCTTAGTTGCTGCGCTATAAAAAGATCCATACTTGTAAATTTTGAAGTTCAAGAAACGAGGACTGTATTTATATGAGCATGCATCGAAGCATACCACATTGATGATATTTATTTACACATATAATTCAAACAGTAATGGTTTTTACTATATGATAGAATAACTTGGACAGGTACACGTACTGTTATTAAATTAAAAGCACCCGTTACCCAGATGTGAAAAATCCAACTCATTAAAACGCAGATTTAATTATGTCATAGACTAGACACTTCGTACATAATTATACTAGGTACTTTGTAGCTGCTCATAAAATGAGACTCAAGTACTTCGAAAGCATTAAGTATAAACTGTCGTTATATTAGATTTAATTATATTTTTATTATTGTCATATAAGTTCAGGGTTTATTAAATTACCCGATGGCGTATTATTTTTTCCAGTTAAATTAAAACGCAAACTTCTTTGGGATATCTTGAAGAGTAATTTGATAATATAAATATATTTTAACATATTTAAGTATCTGCCTGTTAAACAGGATTAAGTTTTGAGAGTCTCTAAATAACTTTTTTACAGGTACTGTCACCAAGAAAAGCAGTATTGAGTAAACAACCGATTACAGTAGGTAGTATGACATTAAGTAGGAGAGAACATCTAATTGCTGAAGAAATACCAGGACCAGAAAGTTGCGTATAAATATATTTCCTTTTTTTTTTGTAAATATTAAAGATTGGAATGAGCTTCAACAAGACATTTTTACGATTTCAAGATAGTATCTGTCAGTATTAGAGATCTATATTTAATTTATTATGTACAAATGATAAGTATAAACGTCGGTATTTTTATGGTTTGAATGTGCTTCCAAATGTGTTAATGAAATAAGTGTCACAACAATTGAAATTTGAATGAGCCTTACATAAAAATTTTGTACACTTTGTATTTTAAACCATTTTTTGTTTTCATTAAAGATACTTCGTCCAATTCTGATCTTTAAAATGCCCTAAACTATTGATCTATGACTTCAAAAAACCTTTGTTTTTTGAGCAGTTATTATATTTCCTGCTATTGCACGATGTGTACGGCATAAATTTGATTAAACACGAGTTTGACATTGATGGCTCAGTTGCCTAGTCGAAGTAGGCTCATGTTGTTTTTATTAAATTTTGTCTCAACTTTGCTTACACAACCTTACTTTGCTTTTGAGGGTAATGTCCATCACATTTAATATTTAGACATCTCTTTTCGAAAATCTGACTCTTTAAATGACCTTAATCTTCATGATTGCTGGTTTTCATTTGTTTTGCTAATCAAAGAGTCAGGGTTAATAGTTTAGAGCTTCTCCTGGTGTCAAAATAGTGCACTAGTTACTATTTAAAAAGCTTGTTAAGTTCTAGACTGTTAAATTCATTCGAGGTAGTGGTTTAGTTGACTTTACTACACCAGACAGTACGTTCGAATTCTAAGATTAGTCTTACAATCACCATATGCAATAGATTGGTTATTACGCTACTTTTGCTTTAGGGATGTGAAAATTTCAGACCAACTTGTCTTTTAGTACTAACTAGAGAAAGGAACATCACCGTGTTTTTTTCCATTTGATGGTAGTAACCTGTTTTAATACTTTCGCTACTAAGTTTTGTGGCAGATAAAAAGTAAAATCGTTTTAAAACCAAAATATAGTAGTAGTATGTAAATAACATTTTTATTTATGTACGATGTAGAGCTCAAAGGAACCATACGAAATTCAGTTAACTATTGACAAATGAAAAATTAAAAATCATTAATTTGTAGTTTGTAGCCAGAAAAACTAGTAAACTCGTAAAAGATTAATTATTTTTTCTGAAATGAATTTTCAAACCAAACCGTATCGTCTTTGTTCTTCGAGGTCTTGTATTGCTGACTTATTGAAATATTATCCTCTAACTTTACTATGTTATATTAAAATTAATCTAACTTCGTGATGTTCTCCGTTCCATAAAATTTACATTCACAAACAAAATTACATGCATTCGAACAACGGTAATAACGATTCTAGCCATACGAGTAGATACACTTTCTACAAACCGTTACAATTTATTTATTTGCATTGCGGGCCACATGTCTTAGAACCCCAAAATATTTTCAATCGAGTTTTGGTGTATCTACGTAAATCTTGTAAATAAATTCCTGTTGTGCTACATTTTATGTCTTATTTATATTTTGATCATTTTAAACTAAGATCGTATAAAAAGAATGTTTTTGTGTTGGATTTGCATATGAGAATTTTCACAAAATCTTCGAAGAAAACTTATTTATTATATAACAACAGTTGTAACTTCAAAGTTACTCGACCAAGCTCAGTTTTTTGGTAATAATACTATACTAATATAATAATACTATAATACTTGTCGGGATAATAATAATAAGAATATATTGATACATTTTACACAGCGGTACCTAATCCTTACTTAAGTTTTGACTGTGCAGTAGGTTTTAACACGAGTATGTATCGAGTATGTATAAATGAATATTATTATTTCTGTAAATACCCGAATATTATACATTAATAGAACCAAGAAGTGAAAATTGGCATTTTTATCTGTGCAAATATTTGAGTAAACGAGCTACGATGCGGACGGACATTCAAACGGTTGTATAGACAAATAAGACGATGTTCATCATGATGGAACGTAATGTGAGACATGTCATGTATGACAACTTGTACATAATTATATTTATTTATGTTTAGAGGTTGTAATGACATTTTATTTAGCTAAACAGAAAGCCAATGAATTAAATTGAATTCAGTTTTAATACTGGTAGAGAAAATTTAAATGTCCAGAAATGTATTTCTAGTTAAAATACTGTAAGATAAATATTTGTAAATAAATGTATGTTTTGACTGTGAAATTGTGATAACTAGTGTTGTAAATAATATAAACTAAAGAAATTTAAATTTTAAGAAAATAAACTCTGTTAAGTGCCTGGTTGTTTGATTTTAAGATCAATTTGAAAAGTTGAATATTATCAGAGCTGAAAAAGTATAATGTTGGAGATTTGTTGAATTTTGCCGCAGTCTCCTAAAGCTGTGCAAACATATGTAGAAGCAAACAATACCTTGGAATAACGTTTTAAGCTGATATTGTATTTAACAAACAAACACAGTACAGTACGAATTTTATTTTTATTCTGAATTTAGCATTAAAACTTTTATGTGCTAAACTAATAGGTATGCCTAGAAACAACATCAAATCTTGTGATTCGACTTTATTTTACCTTTAGAAGATTTCTGTAAATTATCTGTAAGCCGTTTGACAGTTGAGTTAAACGTTACTCTGCCTTATGGTAAAAGACTCCTGTTGGGATCACAAAGATTCTAATGTGGAGGATGCATTCTCATTTGAATACCGGGCGGTGCCTAATAAATGCTGATTTTGTAATATAAAGTTTAGACCTCTTTTCTAAAGAGAGGCCTATGTCCAACAGTGGACTATTAAAGGCTGTTGATGTGATGTGTGATGTGAAAGCAGTTAGGACGGTCAATGTTACCGTAACTGGTTAAAAGCCTATTCAAAGAACTTTTAACAACAGCCTTTACCAAAACTATTTAATCCCCCTACATTAATCTTATGATGTTTTCAATTTTGCCATAAAAATATTTACCTTTAAATGGCAAAGTTCATAAGCGCTTAACTTACTCATGTACAAAATTCATAGTACTAAATAATTATAAGAAGTACTGTAGGTCTATGTGAAAGCAAACTGTATTTAAATTACATTATACACTACTGAGTGATCAAGAGCCTGAAAAGTTTCAGCAAGGAATTCTTCAACCGCCGGTATTCGCCTAGTTGGATAAACATTAAGTTTTATCAAAGACTTCATTATACTGACGTTGAAAGTACTGTCGAAGTGAAGAAAAGAAAAAACAAATACATTCCTTTTTTAAGTATTTCATTACTAACTAGTCTCGAATACGCAAAATGTTGAGTTTGCTTTGTGGAAGACACACCATGACGCTTATAATCCATGATTTGGTCCTATTAACGCAAATAACCCATTGGCAATAACCGAACACTTGAATTAATAAATCAAAAACATAGGACAAAATGAATGGAAAAAATAGGCAACGAGAAATAAATAGAATAGTCGAAATAAATGAAAGGAAAATAATATTGATTGTATGAGATCCTGATCTACCCATGTAGATAATATTATTTTCCCTAATAATAAATCCTCAAAATAAAATATTCCTAACTAAATAAGTTAATAATAACTTTAGGAAGTTAATAACTTCCTGAAATTTAGACGATAGCTCAAGAAAGTCAGGGTCACGTACCAGCCGAGCAAGTTATGCTCGCGAAGGAGGCGGCGGAGCGGGACCGGGAGAGGTTTAGGACTCTCCCGGCCCGCCAGACCCGGGAACGGGCCAGGTAACGCAGGCGACTCAGGCGCCGGAGGTCGCAGAACGACCTCCGTCCTCCATAAACGCAGGCCTGGGGGTGACAGGTGAGGCCATCTGTCACCCTAGCAGAAGCAGGCCGGGGTGGCGGCGAGCGCGTTGCGAAGCGCGCTCTCTTCCAGGGAGGACAGGGAACATGGGGTTCCCACACGGGGGGGGGTCGTCTACTCGTCTGTAGATGACCCGAGGTATGTCGGGGCACCAGGGACTTCCTTTCTAGGGTATACCTGGTTCCCCGGCTATTAGTACCCGGCGACGGCGTGCGGTTTTAGTCGGTTCGTGTCCGTCATGCCACCGACAGGTGGTATCCGAGGGGATTTCCGCACGGAAAAAAAAAAAAAAAACAAAAAAGGGTCACGTACCAGCAACAATTGTCAATTGTGTTGTTGAAGTCTGAGCTCTGTTATACTTGATACATTGGCAGAATTAAATATATATATAAATATTTAGAACTTGAAAATTTTCTTTCGCTAAGTATTTAGGACATTTCAAAAAACTAAAAAAGCTGAGTTGCCAAAGTACGAGTATATACACGGTAAAGAGGTATAATAATTTCGAGTTTCGCACTGACTCCGTCCTCCTATTTTAATTAAAAATTCTGAAAACTAGAACTTATGTAAAATAAATCTAATACAAACTTTTTTAATCAGCGAATTACATTACTTACACTATTTCCAAGTATGTTTAATAACCATTAAACATACTTGGAAATAGTGTAAGTGAATAATACCAGATTAAACTTGCAGGTAATATTCGTCAAATATTACTAATAGTATAGAATATTTTCATCATTTCATGGTAACACACCGTTCAAAAAACGACGTAATTCAACACTGCATCACGGTGTGTTTTTTAAATACAATCCAATGCTATTTGGAATTTTATTACAGATACAAAATCTTTTTACTTTTACTATTTGAAATGCATGACTTATAAGACATAAAAATACATTTTCTTCAGTGGCTTTCATTTCGCCTTCCGTTCCAGAGCATTGGCCGCCTGGGACAATAATTCTGTTTGCATGTAAGTGCCGCCCTCGTCCAACAGTCTCAACTAGTATCATTTTTTGATAGCTTAGTTCCAGGGCGAAAGGCTAACTATAAAATCAGTAATTACTTAAAATAAAATGTTAACAAATGTGTTTAATGATTATTATTTTAAATTTTATTTTCTCTGTCTAGTTAATTTTTCTCTGCACATTTTACTTTAAAAAGCCATTGCTTTATGCACTACATTACGTTTAGCACGCATATAA